AATCCCAGCTCTTGGGAGGCTGTAAACAGGCGGATCACTGTGAGTGTGATCTAGTTAGTAGTGAGACTCTGAACACCCTGCAGATCCTTCCGTAAAATAAACAAAAAATTTTAAAAAAGATCATATTCTTAAATGTCACTTATACAGGTAAACTTTCCCAGCCTCTATACATTACCTTCTACTTTCCCAGAATCCTACTCTCATCTTTACAGCATTTTTCAAATATATTTACATGTTTATTGGAAAGTTATTTATTAATACCATACTACCAGACTGTAGGCCTCCAAGGGGAAAGCCCACATTTTTCTCATGGAATTTATGTCCCCAACACCTGAGATGGTGCTCATTGTATGGAGTTTTTGATAAAAATTTGTTGAGTCTGTGAGTGAAGGGGGGTAAGTCATTTTAGCAGGCTGCATATTATGAAAAAATACGAAGCTTTGGTCATTACTGCATTTTTCTCCCCTTTAGTGCTTTTGGGTTATGAGGAAATAGCTCTCCATTAGTGCCACAGATTCACAGAAAAAGCCATTTAGAAAGTCAAAGCACTCTGCAAAATTTACCTGCAATTTGGAAGTTGTGAAAAGGAGGTTTAGTAGTGACTTCCAATGAGAGAAAGATCTCTGGGTCAGTCCTGATAGGCTACAGGCTATCCCTGGGCAGTCCCTTTCCATTAATTCCCAAAGAAATAGAGCCAGAATCCATGCTAACATTGACTTCTAGCTATGTGCAAGGCAAAGGGCTACACTTCTAAGAGCCTTCTAAAAGCACTAACAACCTCACATCTCAAGCTGTTTATATTCTGTTAGATGTGTGTCTTGGTTACCTTTCTCTCATTACTGAGACAAAATAACTGACACCCGAAGTTAAAGAGGGAAAGGTTTACTTAGCTTAATTTGTAAAGGTTTCAGCCCATACTTTCTTGGCTCCAAGGAAGAACAGTGCATGGCAGAAGGCAACAGTTCATGGCAGCAGAAAACAGCAAAAGCAACAAGAGCAAAAAGAGAGGAGTGCAAGAGAAGACTCTTTCTGTCCGTTATACTGTACGCAGGCTGCCTGCCCAGGCTGGGTGCAGCACTCACACCCATAATCCCAGCATTGGGCAGTGAATCAATCACAAACCCTAGAAGCCTGCACTCGTGAATGAATGACACTTTTGGGGGACATCTAGACACAAACCATAGAATTGTGCATCTGAAATACAGAAGAAATCTTACTAGGAAAAAGTATGCACAGGAGAAAGTGAACAGCAATGCCCAACTCAAAGCAGGGAATGGGGATCTCTGTAATGATCAGAGAGGAAGCAGAATTTATACAGGAAGAAGCACTGGGCGAGGGGTGGAGCAGGGAAAAGGTAGTAGTGCAAGGTCCTGAGTCGAACAGGAAGGTAAGGGAAAGGATCTTCCTAGAGAGAAGTGGAGAGGCTGGTCAGGAAGGCAGGTGAAAGAAACACAGAAAAAGCTGAAGAGGAGAATGTCCTGCACTGCATGTGGCTTCATAATACCAAATGAATTATGATAATGAGTGAATATCAAACTGTATTTTGCTTCCAAGGACTTTCATGCATTATTCACAAAAGAACATCTTTCTCTTTGTTTATACAGATGTCACCACATATCCAAAAAATTTAAATGAGTTTCAAGGCAGAGTTGTTATTCCAACCTACATCTACTACCTGGTGTTTTGTAGGAGTTGTTGGAAATGGAGGCATGGTGATAGGCAAGGGAGTTCAGGCTGGGAAGAAAATGACCGACAGGATTCATGGGGCTACACCAGAGAGGAATGTTCCACCCTCAGAAACTTCCAGACACTGCCTGTTAAACAAATATTTCCATGGTGGTGTTTTGGGGTGCTTGCAGCCCAATTTCATTGAGCCGTTTTTGAATGTTCTAGTTAACCATGATTTTATTAAAATGGAATAATCTGTAATTTGTGGTAAATAACTGATTCCCTCCCACATACTATACAAAGCATAAAGGCATTAAATTGCTTCAGAAATTGTATACAAAAGTCTTTTGAAATTATGCTGAAACTGAGGAATACATCTTTCCTCTTCCTATCAGTTTATCTTTTTCTGTCAGGAGAGTTTCTTCTTTTATGAGGTTTCTAAATGAAATACTTCTCTCTCCTTTGGACCACAACAACTCAGCAATGGCATTGTCTAATGTCTGAGTCCCTTCACTGTTACCTCAGAGACACAAGCAGTGACACAAACTAGGCATGAAGGTGGCACTGTACCCAGAAAGGCTGTGGCACTCAGAGGAGTTCAGAACAAAAGGGGTGGAGTCCATTCTTAAAGAGGACAATCTCAATTTTCTACATTTCTATTGCCTGCACCGTGCTCAATTATTACAAGTTGGTAGAGATAGTGAATGCTCCTTAGCAACCATTCTGACATGGAAATGCTTTTTGGTTTTTTGTCATGCTTTTCTGTATGTTAAGTATTTAAATAGCACAGAACATTATCAATCCTGAGCTCATACTTCACAAACTTATAGTAAGTGACAGGATTCTCCAGATGACTCAATAATCTTAAACTCCTCAGAAGCATTTCAGGAGTCCTCTGCTGCCAAGCCTGGGAACCCCCATCCAACCCAAAGAATACCCTCTCACTTGCTTGCTTAATGAGCACAGTATCAGCTGCCTAAAGAAATCACAGCCTTCACTTTTTTTCTCCTTCGCATTAAACGCTGACCACTTTTATTTATTTATTTAATTTATTTATTTTTGATGGTACCAGGGATCGAACTCAGGACCCTGCACTTGCAAGGCAAGCACTTATTCCACTGAGCTCTCTCTCCCAGCCCCTACTGACCACTTTTAAATATCTAGATCATATTTTATCTTAAACAAAGTCTCCTCTGACCATTTTAGTGAAATCACACCTTGTTGAATGTATTTCCCCTTGGTTCTTGGGTTTACAGTCGCTTTACATCACATCTTGTTAGCAAGGCACCTGGAAACCCGTGAAAAGAACATGTGTCCTCTTCCTCTGCAGCCCTCTTGCCATGCAAAGAGCAGTGGCAGGAACCTGAGCTGTAGTGGAGCTTCAAAGCATTTCCTGTCCACCAGGCCCTCTGGATGGAGGCAGTCCTGTCATAGTCACCATAGCCAGGGACAAGCTGTGCAGCCAGAGAGCTCCCCACAGCTAGCGCCACACACTGGCTCTGCTCTTCAGGAGCTCAGGGATGGAGGAAGAGGGGCAAGTGGTGTGAGTGGGTGCTAGCTTCCACCTGCTTTGCCTTTTGGACCAGGACCCCTTAGAGCTCTAGAGGACATGCAGGGAGGGCCTGGCTCTGAGCAGGACAGGTAGATGTCTAGACAACAGTGGCACAAGACATGAGGGTAACAAAGGTGGCCATCTGTGTAAAACCAAGGACAGTCATTAGGCACTTGGAGAAACAGTGATCAAGGCTGCCCTCAGGCGTTGGTCACCTGGCAAGGACAAAAATCACACAGTACACTGCCTGGGGTGTCAACAGCCAGCAGCCCCAGGGATAAAAAAAAATATATGTTTAAAGAGAATAAAAAATAGTAAAAACAACAACATCCCCAAAACATTAGAAACTATACAGAATTTCACTAAACAAAATGATAGGAATTCAACAGTAGCTGTTATAGTGTATATTGTTGTCTTCAAATTAGTTGTTCAGAATAGCAGATAAAAGCATGCAAAACTGGTCATTTTTTTTTTTTTCCTGGTACTGGGGATTGAACTTAGGGCCTTGTGCCTGCCAGGCAAACACTTATTCTACTAAGCTATCTCCCTGGCCCCCAAAATTATAAAAAATTAAAAAGGGAAAAAATTAAGCATTAACTGCTCCTTTCAATAGACCTGCAGAAATCAGCAGTACAATTATCCAAGCTATTCTGTATATGTACATAAATATTTCCTTTTTCTTCTTTCTTCCTTTCTCCCATTCAAGTTGTTCCGTCCCTTTAAACATTTTCATTCCCTTTCACAGTAGCTTTTGTACCTTTCGGATTTTACTTATTCTTTCAGGTTCTTACACTGAGGAGACAATTGAATATTTACAGATGCAGGTCTGATTTATTTCACTTAGGAGTATGGTCTCTAGATACACTCATTTAGCTACAATAGCTCACACCTGCCTGGGCTGTTTCACCTCCGGGGCATCATTCCATGGTCTTCCCTCCTGCTCCTATTAGCTTACTTTTTGAGAGTCTCGCTCAGGCATGATTCCCATGTGAGGGGCAGACCAAGCCCTCCGATGTTGCCTTCCCATACCTCCTCTCCCATCTAACACCCTGGGCATTGTCCCCAGTTCACGAAGCCCCCAGAGAAGAAAGCAAAAACTTCCACACTTCCCCTCCTCTCCGTGAGGTCAGGAACTGATATGCGCTGCTCCTGTTTCCTTCAGGTCCCGTTTTAGAGAGGCCCAGCACACTGGCCTGGAAGTGCAGGCGTACCTTGGGCACGCCCCACCCCACCAGTGGGTGATGCCCTGGTAGACCACAGGGACTCAGGGTACATGCAGCAAAGGGGGCGAGGGGCTGATGTTGTTCAACTTTAAGGAAGGAACATGACAGGCCCAGCAGGGAGCGGACTCACAACAGCTACTAATTAAAAAAACACTGAACCTGAACTGTGAGTTACAGCTTCTTTCTCTATGCACTCTATACATGCACAGTCACATGGTTCTTACTGAAATCTACATGCTTTTTAAGGAACATGATTTTAAGTTACTTTCAACTAACTTTTTCCAAAGTCTGTAGCTACTTTGCAGAAGTGGTCAGCCCTGATTCGCACAGAAAAGTCCTGGAAAACACTGAAAAGGCACCAACGCTGGGACCCACCCCCACCCACCTGCCCCTGTGGCACTGAGTGCAGGCTAGGAATGCCCATCAAACAAGGGCTGGAAAAGTAAAGGAAAAAAGCAGGGCTGCAAGGGCTTAGCTGCAGCTCCAAACCCAAACCAGACTGCCTGAGAATCACTGCACATCTTATGAGACTGAAAAAAGGCTTTAAAAATACTTACCTTTGTTATTGTATACATCTAAGTAATTTGGTGCTGAAAAAATTGTAATTAGAGAAGGGAAGCCTGTTGTCTGGCTTTTCCTGTACATGCGATACCTGAAAACAGCAAACACAGGTTAAAACAAGGCTGGCATGGAAAAGCAGATGACACCAAATTACATGCTTGGAAATAGCAAATTAAGTGAGTTAAGTTCGATCTTGCACAGAAGTCTCAATTACATAACAGTAGGTCGAATTTCCTTTCCAAGGCTGCTATTCACAGCTCTCATTTCAGAAGGGAAAACATACTCACGCTGCAATTGACAGAAAGGCAGCCTCTACATTTACCAAACCTCAAGGGAGGAGAAATTCAGTGGAAAATCATAATTCATTTCCATGTGTTTGAGAAGGATGCCAAAGGCTAATGACTGCACACCAACACCCTGTAAACAGCCTACTCTTCAGAGAGCTGCCAATACGTTGGACATAAAATGACCAATAAGAAGAGCAATAGCCAGGGACTTACTGCTAACAGCCAGGCTGATTACTCTATAAATCTATAGTATTCTACAAAGTTTCAATGTACGTTTTTTGCCTAGATTAAGTGATTTTTCTTTTCAAAGAGTACCTCTCCAAAATCTATGGATTTCACTAATTGAGCCTGCTTCTATTTTAGGATTTTATTTATTACAATCCCTGCTGGTGTGTGCAGGTGAGAGATTATGTCTCAGCAGGGTAATATTTAATCAGGGGAATAAAACAGACCATCCATGAGATCTGTGGAAAGAAACCAACAAGCCTGCGATTTTACCAACACAAAAATAATGTATAACACTTCAGTTTTCAAATAACCAAAAAGTGCCAGAGACTCCGGCTCCTTTGCTCCCCAGAGTGAAAATGTGGCTCACAAGTCATGTGCAACAGGAGGAGGAGGAGTGGCATTGGGGAATCAAAGGGGTCCCTCCCTCAGCACCACCTGCTGCACAGCTGGGGCGATGAAGGTAGGTCGGCAGCCACTTTAAAATGCATAAAATGGGTAATAATATGAGAATTTTAATTCTTCTCTTTTTGGAACTACTGAGACAACACTACTTTTCCCAGAAAAAAAAAAAAAAAACCCTGTTCAGAAGTTAAGAAATATTCCATTGGTATGCTTTGGATGCCTGTGATTTCCTAGGGAGGGGGTCTCAGCCCAAGGACAGGACCCTCTAAAGCCCAGGGCCTGGATTTTATAATCCAAAGCTGGTTATGCCTACCTGTTAACAAATATAGCAAACACTAGACAACAGTCCCAATTTTCTCAAAGAATCACCTGCTCATCTTAAAAATACCTGCTGATACTGACTGATACACCCAACGTGACTTCAGGTATGTTAGCGAGTGAGACAGATAGATGCCAAGTGGCAGCAGCTAAAGACGGTGACAGCACATCCCTAAGAGTGGAGACACTCTGAGGACCTGTGGCTGGGCACAGGGATAGTCACTTCAAGCCCTCTGAGTGATCACAGTGATCACTGGACAAAGGCCAGCTTCGGAAGGAGCTCAGTCTCCTCAGGGGCATCCTCAACACTGCCTGCCCTCCAGAGCACAGGCATCTATACTGTAGATTTTAGGGTACAAGTTTTACAAAGAAGTGCTCTTACTCTCCAGGAATTCCAAAATATGAAGGGGTGATCTTAATCCTAAAAGACCAGCAATGCCATTCAGTGGGGCCGGGGCGGGGGGACAGGCAGGGCATCACACCTTATATCTTAGACTACATCATGAGGATGTCTTCTGCTGAAAGACTGATTTAATCATTAAAGCAAATTTTGGATATTTCTTAGTATTTTTAACTCTCAATATTGTTCTATGCCTTAAAATTCAATTTTACATAATCATTGGTTTGTTCTTTAAAACTCCAGGAATGGCACAAGAGGTAGAATGCATGAAGTACTGTTTGTGTGAATGTTGTGCACATTGCTGCAAGCCAAGCTTGAAAGGTACTGGGGATTTGTTAGCTTAGGGGAGAGTGGTCTAGGGGGATAGAGAGAAGTAAGAGGGGTGGCATTGCAGCCCTTAGAAGGACCAGCTGAAAGGGACTGGCAAGAACCCCAAAGGGACTTGATGGCCACCTGTTGCTGCTTGTTCTGCCCTTTTCCCTCCCGAGCTGTCTACAGGCCACTTGAAACCTGCTCCTTCTGGGAGTGGCCTGAAAAGAGGTCAGCCCAGCACAGGCACAGTGGAGAGGCCAGGACACCAGGACACCACACACGCACAACACATCAGCCCAGAACCCTGCTCACCCTGCATCCTGGGCTTCATGAGCTCGGAGTATGGATAACAAGTTATTGTGCTGCAAGAACTCACAGACAGCTGGGTAACTGCAAGAGGAGAGAGAGAGAGGTGTCAGTGATGGGGTACTGCAGAGAACCACATGTGTGTCTAGCACTCAGGCCTGATGCAAGCAGGCACACACCCACCACTCTGATAGCTCCTGGCTATGAATACACGATGGTCCCGCTACAGAAAGGGCACCACACCAGCAATCTGTATGTGCACACCTCAGGAAAACATACACCACAAAGAGGGCTAACTCAGGGAAAGTCAATTTGATGGCCCCATTGAAACAGAGGGAACAGAAGCCTAAGTGGATCTTGAGACAGGAACTGAAATACAAACCAATTTCTCAGGTCACAGACCTGTGTGATTGTGAGATATGAGAAGCCCAGCCAGGAAGTGGAGGAGCAAGCACTGGGGACACTGGGTTCCCATCTCCCTCCTGCTCTGGGTACAGCCCAGGCAGATCTCTAAGGGCCTCCTGCAAGCAGGCACGGAGCTGGGGGTTTGATCCCCAGGCCTGCCATGCTGGCCCCGGGGTTCGCTGAGATGACAATTGAGACTAGGTGTGGTGGCATGCGCCTGTAATTGCAGCTCTTGGGAGACTATAAACAGGCAGATCACTATGAGTCATTCTAGTACTGAGACCCTGAACACCCTGTAGACCCTTCCCTAAAATACAGGAAAAAAAAAAAGTCAATCAAGAGAACTTTCTCTTAGGACTTCGTCTTAGAAAAATATTCAGCATGCAGCCCTGTTTGTCATTTAAGAAAGTCTCAAAATTTAGGAACTACTATAAGTGAAATTTTAAGTATAAAATAAAATTTGAAAGACCTTTACAGTTACAGTTTTTTTGCTATAAGAATTTTCATGAGATAAATGTATGTAACAAATAATTCAAATCAGGGAACAAAAAAACAATCCTCATGAACAAACTGCAAATAGTCACTAGACTCTAAACTATATATACCATGGGAAACACTTATCAATTATAAAATAGCACTTAGGGGAAATAATTACTTGGAATACGTCACTAAAATAATTACCATAAAAGAGAAGATGAACATAATTTCTATGCTATATATTTGTACAAATTCCTTGTCTAATAGGAAAACATACTACAAAGATAGTACCTTGTAATAGAGATTTAGGGTTTTTTTTGTTTTTTTGTTTTTGTTTTTGCACAACTGGGGATTGAATTCAGGCCCTTGCACTTGTCTGTCAAGCACTTACTCTACTGAACTATCTCCCCATGCCCTGTTTTTGTTTTTGTGATGCTGAGATTGAACTTGGGCCCTCTGCACTGAGCTATATCCCTGAGGAATTTTGTTTTTTTCATTTTTTATTTTTGAGATTTCACACTATGTTGCTAAATTGCCCAAATTTGGCTTGAATTTTTAATCGTCTTGCCTCTGCCTCCTAGGATGCTGGAATTAAGTTATACAGATAAAGATTATGAGGTTTTTGTTTGTTTGGAAAAAAAAAATGGGATCATAATCCAGAAAAAGTTTCTGTGTACGTTTGTGTTTTACAAAACAAAGAGGAGGCCAACTCAGCCATTGGTATCCAGGGCTGGGTCCTGGCCGCCATGCTTTTGCTCTCTGTGAAGGAAGGCGAAGATGGGTGCTTCCCACACAAGTGTGTCAGGAACAGACACTGGGCTGCTGCTCCTGGCCGCAGAACAGTTGGTGCACACAGAGCTGGCAGAGGCCAGGCCCGAGGACACCAGGCTCTTGGGCAATGCCCTTCCCTGTATCTGCAGCCCAGCCCTCAGGGTCTGCAGCTTTCACCTCTGCCTAAGAGAAGGTGGCAATGGTGGTGTTCCCACAAGCACACAGTGGCCACCACAGTTTTTCACATCTCTGCACCAGGCAAAGTGCTGAGATGCACCTCTGCGTTCCCGCAGTGACTTACTAGGCTCTCGGGAAAACACATTTAAAATAAAGTATTTTCTTCCTTCCAAGTTTGATACTTTTAGGTGTTTAGATTAAGTAGTTTTTCCCCATAGCAATATATGTCTGATTTTTAGTAAAAATCTGAAAAAAAAAATGAAATTCAAAGCTGCAGTTTGCTAAATAACAATCACATGAAGAACTTTATTATTTATAAGGAGAGAGCTCATTTGGAAGAAAAACTTCAGAAATTTAAAATATACATAGTGAACTACTTATTAAGCTTTTAAAATATTTTCCTTAGTTTGGAAAATACTAGAGTATCACCTAGAACACCATCATTGGTTCACTATCTGCCATGAATACATTAAATAATTAAATAGTAATTGAAAACAACCTAAATTCTATAATACCTTTATGCCTTTTAATGGAAATGATCAAAACTCACAAAATGCTCAAAGTGAAAAGCACACCACACATACTTTCACATATAAAAAATGGTAGGAAAAGCAGAGTTCTCAACACTTTGAGCCACAGAAGGGCTGGAAACTCATTTATTGCCCAATAATTATGATTTTCTTTCTGTTAGCAGTTGCAGTAGCTGCGGCAGGGGGTCTAATGAGGGTGGACACACATTGTCTCCAGAAGGTGGTTTGTTATCCAGGCAGAAGCAGAGAACACTGGACAATTCTTTAAAATTACTCAATAATAAAAGCCACTAAAGATAAAATAGCACTAGGTCTGTAACCACCATTAGGAAATAAGAAAGAGGACTTGCTGTGATTAATTAGGAGGGTCTTTTTGACAAATCTCTCCTTCCTGTCAGGTCTCCAACAGAAGCATAGATGAGGAGACAGGAAGGAGGTTAGAATCCAATCCAGAGAGAGGATGGGGATGTGGAGAGGAAGCTGAGCAGGGGCACGGGAGAGAAGGCACAAGAGGCAAAACTGGGAGCGTGTGTGGAGAAGCAGCGGGGAGGGGACAGCAGCTACGGATTCAATCAATCTGTCGGTGCCCCGAGTTCTGCAGCACATGTCACTGTATTTTAGACTCTGAAAACAGACTCATTAGATGTGGTGCCCAGATTTCAAAAACACAGACACAAGCTATAAACTTTCTGATAAAGAAGTTTAGAACAAACTTCCCTACTAATACATGTAACAAAAGACATTCTATCTCACGTTGTCAGTGAAGAACCCATTTGAACCAAGCTTTCCAAGTGGGCATCTCCTCCCCAGCTACTTCCTATGGAAGCTGTAAAGCACCTTCATGAAGTCAGCTCCCATCCAGGGCCCTCACCTGTAGAAGTACGAACACCCCCGGACTGTATTGTGGGTGAAATGTTCCTGAGTCTTCTCGTTCCCAAAGTCCTCCAGCGGGTCTGACCACAGGATGTCACACATGGGCCCGTAAGCAGGTGGTTCTTTGAATCGGTCTAACTAAGAGAAAGAGAGGACAGAGCAAAATACTAATCTTTGGAAATGGAATTCAGAATGCAACAGACACCAGCGGCAGCTGGTCCAGGCTCTCTCAGACCCCTCCTGCACTCCCTCTGGGCCACTCTCTTCTTCTTTCCAGCTGCCTCATACCCTGAAGCTCCTTCTCCAAATTTCTCCAAGGTCCCTGCCCTCCTCTTCCTGAGGCACTCACTCACTGGGTCTTCATTTCTCCCTTCACATTCCTTTTCTTCTTTCAACCTTCTCGTGTCCACTTATTCTTTCTACCATTCTCCTTTAATTCTTCTCATTTATGTATCTATCTGCC